CCAGGCAGTGGGTAAGGGTGCTTCAGTAGTGCTCTCTGCATTGTCCTGTAGGCTGCCATCCTCATCAGCATGGTGTAGACCCTTCACTGGGTAGACCCACCCATGATGGGTGTCAGCAATGGCACAAGTTACTTCACTGGTAGCGCCCCCTTGAAGGTCCACCAACCTGCCAATGTTAGGAGCTTTGTGGATTCCCAATGCAAAAACTGTTATCATTACTTTGTATAAAGGTCAATTTTCTTACTAATCAATAATACTCAAGACGAGAAGAACTTGTTTCATATGTCTTAACTGCAATATTTAATGCCCATATTTCTAAAAGTCAGGTTACATTTACTGCTCTTCTAACCGATAGATCTTCTCCAGTTGCATTCATCCAGATGCATTCATTGAAAAGTGCTAAAATATATAAATTAAGATATGAAACAATTTATATTAAAAAGGGTATTAAGTGGATAATAAAGATCATACCTAATAAAGTGCATCAATGCTATATATTGTCCGAAGTAATAACATACTTGAGAAAAGGAACTGAATAAGGTGAGTACAGATATAATTAAAAACAAACTATTCAGAGTAATGGTGTATGATCGTATTCAAGATTTAAGTCTCTAGGGCTAAGAGTATCCAATTCCTTAATCCAAAAGACTTTGTTTAATTTTATTCCTGTTCCCCCTCCTAATTGTCTCTGGAACATGGTCCATGATTTGGAATTTCGGTTGTGATGTATTATGTCTGAATTCCCAAAACTGGGCTGGTAACGAAAAGTCGGTCACACCTGTCCGAATGGTAGATTTAGGTTTAGAAAACCTATCTTTAAATTTTTGTGTTGTCTGTCCCACATACAATAAGCAACAAGTTGTTTATCGCTCAGTGAGGGATATCTTTTTTGGGGGTGTGGTGAACTCAAAGAGTCTAAGGTAACTCTCTGTTGGTATGTGCCAGTGTGTAAAGATTATTTTTTTTAACGTTTGAGGAGTGTGTGCCAAACCGGGTGTAACGGATCACCTAGCACCCCGACTGGGTACCTCCGTTGAAAGATGCTCCTAGCGCTTCCTGAGGACTCCAAGCACTGCAGCAGACACCACAATCACCGAACCAGAGAAGCGTATACCTTCTCTCAAGCATATGAATGCTGTAGACAGTTGAATAGGAACCATACGAATAGGTTTACTCTCCTAGCAGTCAAACTGGAACAGCATACAATAAATCCTTCCCCAATAATGAGACGACACTTCACTTTGAGGGTTAAAACAGGAACTCCCTGTACTGTCACATACAGTCTCTTTTATTCCCAATCCACAAACATAGTACAGCCCACAGGGTGTTACAAAACAACCAATCAATCCGTACAATACACCCAGACACTCCCACACAAAATCCTCCCCTCTGCAGGTGATATGATTACTGAACACAATGGGTAATCTCATTATCACCGGCAGAGGAATACAGTTTTTACACAATATTTATAACTTCTAAAATATACATGTCACAAACATAAAACATACATTTTCATAATCAATCCATTCAGGGCAACAACATATTAAAAAATGGCACGAATCAGACCAGGGGTTCAAAAGTTAAGGGAAAGTCCTTTGTGACTAAATGAAGCATGGCTTTCTGGCCCAAACCAGTTTCAGAGTCTTCTATCCTGGAGAGAATTCAATTATCTCCCAGGATAGACACAAGACTCCATTAAGCACATGGTTGCAAAAAGACACAAAACACTTTAAAATACATAAAGTAACCTTTTCACATAACACACAGACATTTCACATATCCCCAGATAGCTGGGATCTGAGCGCACAAAACTACTGAAGAGCGCTCAGATCCTATTCACACAGTTCAATTGCCATGGAGCCGAAGTCTTTAATTACACAAATGGGCTCCATGGCATAGCTATCTGGGTTAACACATTCTCATAAAGTCTGGTCCATAGTCCAAAGGCAAGAGGCGGGCAAGCAGCCCCCTCCAAGGACACGTGGCGAGGCCGGTTTCGCCACACCGGGAGACAAATGTAATCCTGTCATTGTTAGTACATAGCCTTTTTGTAATCAAATCCTTGTCAATTACTTGTCTCAATTGAGTGTTCAGCGTGGCAATCGCATAACTATGTTGTTTGAACCTTTCTGACACAGCAGTCAGTTGCTTTTCGATTTGGTCACTTGGGAAACCAATCTTTTAACATGCATAAATTGGCCTTTAGATACTGCTGTGAATGTTGAAGGAGGTGGTAACTCGTGTAGTACAAAATGTGTTTCTGTTAAGAGGTTTCCTTTACAGATAGTAATGCATTTATTACCTGATTTTTCTACAAGAATATCAAGGAAAGGTAAACACAACAAATTATGTTTCACTGTAAACCTGATAGAGTCTTAGCAAGAGTTTAGAAACATTAAAAAAAAAACAAAAAAACTTTCCAGGGATTCCAATGGGCCACTCTACAACACCAGCACGTCATGTAGACTGTAAGCTTGTTTAAGCAGGGTCCTCATCAACCTATTGTTCCTGTAGCATTTTGTATTTGTCTAATTTATTGTTAAATTTCCCCCTTTTACAATATTGTAAAGCACTGTGTAATATGATGGCGCAAATGCCAAATATAATAATACGAACATATAGAGCCACCATCTTGTGACATCTTTTGGGTAATATATTTTGATTTCTTCTATATGAATATGAATGGATGTGCTGAATATGCTGAAATATGTGGGTGCCACATTGGAACCCATGATAGTACCCTTAAGTTGAAGGAAAAACATATCCTGAAATAGAATATAATTGTCAAACATAACCATTTTCACGAACCTCAAAGTCAAAAAGTTTAAACTTTTAAAAGCACACTCTCCTGTCAACAGGCTAGCTTCATGTTTAATAGAGTTGCAAAGACTGGTAATATCGAAAGTAACAAGAATAAAGGTCTGATGGTCAGCCGAGCAGACTGAATGCCTGATGGAAGAGGTGGGTCTTTAGCTTTTTTTTTTTTTTTAAAGTCTGTAAGGATGGTGCCTCTCTGATTGCACACGGTAAAGAGTTCCAGAAGGTAGGGGCAGCATAGCTTTGCCCTGGAACCTGAGTGTCTTAATTCTTGGCACTGACAGGAGGAATTTGCTGGCTGACCGAAGTGAACGGGATGGAATGTAGGGTGTCAGGAGCTCTTTCAGGCATTGATTGTTTAAGGCTTTGAAGGTTAGCAGGCCCATTTTAAAATATGTTTGCTATTTGGAAGCCAATGCAGGGAGTGGAGAACAGGTGTTATGTGGCACGAGCGACTTTGATTGGTCAGTAGTCTAGATTTTGTACAGTCTGAAGGCGATGGAGTTCTTTTTCTGGGAGGCCCAAGTAAAGTACATTGCAGTAATCTAGCCGAGGGGATACAAATGCATGGGTTAGTGTTGGCATATCATCCGGTGGAATTAAGTGCTGTATCCTGGCTATGTTTTTCAGATGAAAGTAGGCAGATTTTATTACAGAGGAAATATGCTGTTTAAATGATAGTCCAGAGTCAATCAGCACTCCGAGGTGAGTTCAGAGCCTCCAAGCTCCAGGCCAGTTGGGTAATCATGGGATATTTTTGTTGCCCGGGTTATCCTCACTAAGAGTAACGCTGTTTTATCCGGGTTCACTTTAAGCCAGCTAGCATTCATCCATTCTATGAGGTCTGCTAAGCAACTGTTGATGCGGCATGTTGGGTCACTGGAGCAAAGGAGAAGTAGAGTTCGTCAGCAAAACAATGATACCTTAGGCCATGTCGCCTAATGATGTGGTAGCAAGTAAATTGCGAAAAGCATGGGAGACAAGATGGATCCTTGTGGAACTCCATAGGCCAGTTCTGTTGGTGTCGATGAGCTTGATCCCGATGTTACTCTCTGTGATCTACCAGAAAGGAAAGATTTAAACCAGGTAAGGACTGTGCCCCCTAGACCACTGATGTGCTGCAAGTGCTCTATTAAAATCCTATGGTCAATGGTGCAGCTGAGAGATCCAAGAGGATTAGGATGGAGTAATCACCTTTGTCTCTTGCCATAAGGAGATCATTTAGCACTCGGACTAGCACTGTTTCCGTGCTGTGGCGGCATCTGAAACCTGACTGGAAAAGATCAAAGCTGTTCAAGCTTGAAAGATGGGCCTCCAGTTGAGTTGCCACTACCTTTTCAATTATTTTCCCCAGAAATGGAAGGTTTGATACTGGTCTGTAATTAGCCATGCAGTCTGGGACTAATAAAGGTTTCTTTAGGAGTGGTTTTACCACAGCTTCTTTTAGAGGATCTGGGAAGTCTCCAATTTTTTGTGAACACGGCACTATTTTTGTGAGGGCTGGGGCAAGTGTTTCAATGCATGCAGATATAAGCTGAGTTGGAGCAGGGTCTAAAACACATGTATTAGGGTGTAACAGTTACATGGTTCTTTTAACTCCCTTTATCCACATTTGTGAAAGTGGACCATAATCTGGCATTCCATTGTAGTGGTTCTGGTGTGTAAGTGCTTGGCCTGCTGTGATAGAGGCTTGGATTGAGGAAATCTAGTCTCTAAAGAAGATTGCAAATGCTTCACATTTATCCTGAGAAAAGTTGGTGGGGATATGCATGCATGCTGGTTTGCAGAGCCTTTCTACAGTGCGTAACAGTTGCCTGGGTCTGTTGTGGGAGAGTGCAATTTTGCGTGATAAGAATGAAGATTTTTTCTGAGTTATCTTGAATTGATATTCATTTAGATGTTTGGTAAGAGCGAATTATCCTCTAGATCATGTGTCCTGTGCCACTTTCTCTCATGTTTACAGCCTGTTCTCTTCATTTCTCTTATGGTGGTATCAAACCACGGTGCATTGTTGTGGGTTTTGACAGTGTGTATGCGTATTGGTGCAATGCTTTCTAGGGTATCTCTCATGGTTTTGTTGTAGAGTTGGACTAGGGAGCTGGCGTCTTCACAGGTGCCCATTAGTTCACTTAGATCCAAATGTGATGTTACATCAAATGGCGTCACCCCTTTTAATGAGCGGTGTTTGACCAGGTTCTGAAGCTGGGGTCTGGCTGATTGTGATACAATGGAGAAGTGAATGGAGTGGTGGTCTTACCAAACAACTGGATTTACAGTTACTGGTGACACTTCTAGCCCAGACTGGAACACTAGATCAAAGTGTATGACCTTTTCTGTGGGTGGCGTTGAAGGGATACGGTGTCATCAGTCCAAGTGTTGAAATCTCCCAATATAAGCCATCTGGGGTGTCCAAGGATTAAGCCAGCCAAAAGGTCTGAGAGTTCCTGGAGAAATATCTTCCCATCTTCTGGGAGACTGTATATTAACAGTATCTGAAATCCTCTATTGCGAGACTGGCAGCTACGCATTCAAAATATTGGAGTTTATAGACTGATATTGGTCTGGGTTTTATGGATGATTTCACACAGATCATAACTCCACCTCCCTTGTGATCTTGTCTCGGGCGGTGGAACACCATGTAATTGCCTGAAGTAGCTGCCTCTAGAATAGGCCCCCCATTTTCATCTAACCATGATTCTGTAATGCACGCTAATTCGCATGTTTCAATTCAGGTTGGCAATAATAGCTGTCTTGTTTCTTATTGATCTGGCATTGCACAGGACTGATTGCTCTGTACTTTGGAAACAATGTGTCTTCTAATGGGGATCACACAAAAAGGTTTCCTTGATTTGATAATGTGGCTTTTGTGGCTTATAGGTTGAATCCCCAATGCCCACTACTATAGGTCGCTCTGGTGGATTAATCAGTGATTTATGTATTTTGGATAACACAAAAAAATAACAAAGGTTCTTTGTCAATAATCTGTTCTTCAAGTGCTTTTAAAAATTCTATTTTGCCTTGTAAATTCAGAGTAGGATGATTACTCAATTTCCTATTAGTTTCCAAGTTGTTTAAACATTTCCCTAGACTCCCCCCTGTCCCGGAATGGGATAAAGAACCCTTGCCCAAAGCCCACCCGTAGCAACTCGGCGTCCGCCCTGTTACCGTAGCGGCTTAGCCATGGCTCCATCGCGTCTAGCCTCACCGGGATTAAGCACCGGGGCAGAGGAGACCCCTCCTCCACCCCCAACCGTAGCGGCGACTCTGGTATTTCCTGACTTCCCTTTTTTGAAGCATCGGTTAAGCCCGTGTGCACCGACGCAGCCTGAGCACTCGTGGTTAAAGCGGCAGGTGTTCCCCCATTTGCACTGGCCTTCATTGAAGAGCCAGCATAAGCCCTTTTGCAAGGCGGCCAACGAGGCGGACTGTCCCTTTGCGCCGGCCGTGTGCTGAAAGGGCTGCGCCTTCTGCGCCATCATCAATTTCATCCAGAGGGGCAGGTCCATTTGGTCCCATCTCATACCCGGATTGGCTGCCAAATGCTGCCGGAACCGCTCATCATACCGCCACCACGCCAGCCCGCCGTAGGTGCGGTATGCCTGCCAAATTCCGTCTAAATAGCAAAACAGGGAGGAGCACAAGCCCGGCGATTTCTCACCTAGGACACTGGCCAGGACGCAGAACGCCCTCAGCCAGTTGCCGAAAGATTTCGGTATCTTACGATACCGCTTCTTTTTCTTCTCCTCCTCTTTTTTCTCGTCTTTCTTATCTTCCTCCTTGAGGTCTATAAACTCCTCTAAGGGGAGAAGGGAAAAGATTTCACAGAATTCGCCCTTCCAAATCTTGTCTTTTACCTCCTGTTTGAGGTGCACCCCGAGCGGACCTGCAAATGACACGTATGTGTGCTGTCTGGCCGCATCGGGGACCCCCCCACCAGCCAACTCCGCCCGCTCACCCGCTGCGTCCGCCCTGCTGCCAGCCGTTCCCGAAACCCTGCTCGAACTCGGTTCTGCGGAGATAACACCCGTGGCCCCTGTCCTCTGTGCCCATACCTGACCTACACCACCCCCGTGTCACCCCCCGCTCCCAGCGAGTGGAGAGGTGCTTGTAGTGTGTGAACCAGTGTACTGGATTGCAACGATGCACAGGACTCACCGGCCAAGCCCCCCAGTCTCCGAGCGCTGGGGGCTGCATCGTCCACTGTAATCCGTCCGGGAGGAGCGACCTACGTTAACGCCCTGCCGACCGGGGAGCCAACCCGGTGCCCAGCTAACACAGAGGAAGACCGGCTCCGAGACCTCTAACGAGGAGAAGATGTCCTGGGTAGGGTGTACCGATCCCCTGTCACCCTCCCTTCCCGACCCCGGGAGCTCCTGCTCTTCACCAAAGCCTCCCGCCGCGCGGTGCCCGTAGTCCGTGCTCCAGAGGCCTGGACGGCCCCGCCCGGCGGGCTATGACTCCTTCCCCCCCAGCGTTCAGTCCGCCCCCGCCTACCATGCCTGGGGGCCCTGACCCTGCTCCTTTCCGACCCCTCAGAGGTGGAACTGTCCTGCCTTGACCTACCCCTAGCTCCACCAGCCCCCTGATCCCTAACTGGGGATGGGCTGATGCTGCTAGACCCCGAGCTAGACCCCCCTCCTACCACTGCGCCCCAGCACCTGCCTGTCTACCCGGGCCAACCCCCCACCCCCACCTGGACGGGCTCCACAGCCTCCAACACCCCCCTTATCCAGCCCAGCCACTGCCTGATCAACTAACCCCCCTGCTCCCAGGGGCCCCGACTGCCCCACAGGCCCACCCCTAATCCCAGAGGGGAACCCCTTGTCCAATCTCGCTGTACTGAGGGACCCCTTAGGCGCCCCTGACCTCTTCCCCCTCACTACCCGCCCCTTCTTCCGCACCACTGAACTACCCTGGGCACCCCCAACAACCCCTCTCCTTTCCTCTTGTAACCCTAGAGTGGCCGGCCTAGTACCCCCCATCCCCCCGTCTCCACTCCCCCCAGGCAACTCCTTCCCCGCACCCAGCATGCCAAGAGAGCCCCTGGCGGGGCCCCCTGCACTTGCCTGTCTGTCCTGGGGCCTGCTGGACGGCTTCACGGTTCCGGCCCCGTCCGCTGCGTCTGCCGACCTCCTCAGCTTCCTCCCTGGCGAGCCAGACCGCCGCCGTCACGGGCAGCCGCCCGCCACTCAGCATGTCCCCAGGGCCCCGGTAGAACGCTGGGAGGCGGGGCCTCGACCGCGCTGCTACCGGGCCTGCTGCGGCCTCCTCCCGCCGCCATGCGCCCGCTAGCTCCAGCTTCGCCGGGCCCCGTGCCCGGGCTCAGCCTCCACGGCGGCCTCCTGGCCCGCACCGGACGGTCCTGTTCGCCCTCCTGGGCCGCCATTCCCGCCAGGGCCGGTCCGAGTTGGGCCCGCAACCAATCCGCTCCATGACCTCGCGCCGCTGACCGGATCCCCTCCAGCAGCCTCTCCACTTCGTCCATGGCCCTGCAGAAACGAAAAGAAGGAAAAAAAGCCCTACCAAACCCAATCTGCACACACAGAAGTGCCCACAAACTTGGTCAGGTAGGAAATTAGAAGTGTGCTCACTTAAAATGGCTGCCTATTTAAATATCCCAACCCACTTACCCATAACTCCATACTTCCTTCCCTCCTCCTATGCCCGCCTCCTAACCCCTGTCAAGGCCCTTTTTCGCTTAGCTGTGCTTTGGCTACATGGGGCTACAAGACTGGGCCAATATCTGCTCATTACATAAGGTACATATTAATGAAATTTCTCTGTGTATTTTGCATATATAAATGTACATCAATATGTGTAAATATAATATATATATATATATATATATATATATATTACACACATTAATATACATGTCATATACCAGTGGCGGATCCAGAGCCTGAGCCCGGGAGGGGAACTTTATAGATTATTTAAAGAAATATTTCATGCACAATAACCACTACTCCTCTGTGTAGTGGTTATGGTGCCAGGAGCGTCGGCACCCCCTCCCAGAGTAAGTAGTCAAACCGTTTAAGAACAGTTTGACAACTTACCTGGAGTCTGCTGGGATATGGGGCTGTAGTAGGGTATAGGAGCAGTGGTGCAATGTGTGTGAAAGGTTCAGTGTGTGGGTGGGCAGTGTGTGAATGTGTATGGTGTGTGTGTGTGTGTGGGGGCAGTGTGTGAATGTGTATGGTGTGTGTGTGTTCACTCCTACTACTGCGACCACCAGGAAGTGGAGAGAGTGAACTCTAGCCCATAGCTCCAGGGCTAGAGTTCACCCTTGTGAGAGCCGGAGTGTTGCCCCGGGTCCTCTTTTCCTCCCCTGCCTCGGGGGGTGAGGGGGGGATATATACTGCCCCTGTGTGTGTCTCTTTATCTCAAGCCCCTCTGTGTGCCTTTTTGTGTCCCCCAGTCACTCTGTATGTTTCTTTCTCCCCCTCACTGCTCCTCTGGGTCAATGTCTCCCCTCCTCTTCCCAGTCTCTCTCTTCCCCCTCTGCCTCTTTCTTCCCCTCCCCATGTGTGTGTCTCTCTTATTTCTCCCTCTTTGTCTCTCTCTTCCCCCTTTGCCTCTTTCACCCCTTTCCCTGTGTCTCTTCCTCCCCCTTTCCCTGTGTCTCTCCCTCCTCCCCATCTCTCTCCCTCCCCCCTTTCCCTGTGTCTCTCCCCATCTCTCTCCCTCCCCCTTTCCCTGTCTCTCCCATCTCCCTCCCTCCCTCCTTTCCCTGTCTCTCCCATCTCTCTCCCTCCCCTTTCCCTGTGTCTCTCCTCCCTCCCCCATCTCTCTCTCCTCCCTTTCCCTGTGTCTCTTTCCTATTTTCTCTCCCTTCCCTGTGTTCTCTTTCCCCTTTCCCTGTGTCTCTCCTCCTCCCCATCTATTCTCCCTCCCCCTTTCCCTGTGGTTCTCCCCATTTCTCCCTCCCCTGTGTTCTCCCCATTTCTCTCCCTCCCCTTTCCCCGGCGTTCCTCCCCATCTCTCTCCCCCTTTTCCCTGTGTCTCCCCTCTCTCTCTCCATCTCTCTCCTCCCCTTTTCCCTGTGTTCCCTCCCTCTCTCTCCCTTCCCTTGTCTCCTCCCCACCCCTCCCCTGGTTCTCCCTCTCCCTCTCCTTTCCTGTCTCTCCCTCTCTCCCTCCCCCTTTCTTGTTCCTCTCCCCCTCTCCCTCCTCCCCTTTCCTGTGTCTCTCCCCTCTCTCCCTCCCCTTTCCTGTCTCTCCCCTCCTCCCAATCTCTCTCTCTTCCTCCTCCCCCCCCCCATTTACCTAGAGAAGTCAGGGGCCGCCAGACTGGAGCGGCAGCTTCCCCGGTCCGGCCCTGCTCCTGTCACTGTTGTGGCTGCTGAGGGCTGAAGGAGGAGGAGCCTGTCTCTGTACCATGCTGTTCCTGGAACCGCGAGGG